AATTAGTGAAAGTTTATTTTCTTAGGTATCACTTACCCAGATAAGTGGTACCAATCTCCAAATTGGATAAATAACTTTTCCACTTGGAGGGAAAATTGCCAGCATTTACTAACATGTCTCTGGACCAATATTAACTATTAAGATTGTCTATATGTATATTAATTTGTGAATAACAGTACTAATTGAGTGACATCGGTCATACATTAAAATCACATTCATTGTGTGTGTAACGGAGAAATGTCCACCGCTCGAGAATTCAGAGAAAGAGAGAGAGTGGGAATCGGATGCTTGGAATAGGGCATGGAAGCATCCTGGGGTTTTTATGTTATGGGTCTAAGCAACAATGAATTTTTTATTTTTGGGGTTCTAAGCACAAGGAAAGATGATATTATAATACTTTACACTTGGAATAGGGCATGGAAGCATCCTGGGGTTTTTATGTTATGGGTCTCTTGTAGGTAACTGTAACTCAATAAATACAACAAAGACTCAGATCGATCATCAAGACCACCCATCATTTTATATAATGCACGGGATCCTCCATTACCATTAATCCCACTATCTCTAAGAGAAAAGAAAAGACCATGCATTACCCAATGCTAGCTCCTGCCATCCGGCTGAAGCTGAATATAATTTTGCACAGTAAACCATATGGAATGATCCTTCCCTAGATACGCTAGTAACTCAAAGCCATATTATCCATACGAGACTCCTTTTGGCCTACACCTAATAACCATTTATACACATAAATTATTTGCTTTAATTGGGATGCTGCTTTGCTTATCGAGATATAATAAGAGTAAAATACAATATTTGATCAAGAATTAATCTTTTCTGATCAGGAAGATACGATGGCCAATCCAAACCAAAGTTAACTCTACTTCAAAAATCAAGGACATGTAACCATCCCATTACAGATTCATGTTCCAACGGTTTACGATTCCTTCTAATGATTCTCGCCATGGGAATCTGGTCAGCGCCTAAATATCTCATCTCATCAAAGGTAGTGCTGAGTATCAGTTAGACTATTTTAGTCTTTAGAATCGTGTTAGAGTCTTATCTATCTGTCTATCTCTCTATCTATCTATATAAATTAAATTAAAATCTTGGTTCTCATTAGAATACAAGGATCCAGCACTAAATGTGTCTCAACCAAGAGATCGTACATGATTAAAAGCAGAATGCAATGCAGAAGATTTTGTTGACAACTTTGCATCTGTTTAGAGGTCTTTCAAAGCTTTAATGATTTCTGGGATGGATGATCTCTTGAGTGGGGCATAAACATTCCTTGCCCAGTTTCAATTCTTTAATTTAATTATTCATGACACAAATTAAATGATAACATTAATGTTGTGGACTGACAGACTGACTTTGGATCAACCCTCTCCCCCCTAGGTCTACAGCTAGGATTTTCCATGCAAATAGATGATTATATCATCGGTCCATTCAATTCATAGACTTTTTTTTTTCTTTTCTTTTGTGTGTGAAGCAATTAATTAATATACTCAAATACCATAATCAATGCATGCTAGCTATGTTCCTCTCACATTTTGTCGACCAACACAGAGAGGGGCTGCTTCGAATGAGCTCATGACTAAAATATTGTACGCCCTTTCCATTCTACAAATCAACCTCCTTAATTTAGAGCCGCCAATGTAATTAAGCTGCTACATGAAACTACATATCCTTCTAAGCCTTCAGTTTGGAGTGGTTAATTAATTTCGTCACTTCCTTGTTTTTCAGTTTTATAAGCAAGCCTTCGATCTGTAAAGAATTCCCATAAGCCCCTTATAAAATCAAAATTCTCTCAGTTCTTCTAGCTTAACTGAAAGAATCTTTGAACATTGAACGCACTTAACTTCTCCATGAATTTTCTTTCCATAATTCATAACCATAGTCATATATAGAGAAATCCAGGAATCAGGTTGGTGGAATAGAACAATGTTTCTTTATGAGTTTCCTCTATATTACACAAGCAAAGAGTATATAAGAGGTATAAGAAATATACAACAAAATAAATAAGAAAAATAAAGGATGAAAAACCTGATGATGCGTGATCTGAAAGCTCCTAGCTGGAAGGTTGTCTAGGCATTGCTTATGTGGCGAGCTGGATCAAACTGTAAAATAGAGATCAGAGAGATTGGGGTGGATGACTCGGTGAGGTTGCTCCGATGCTTAAATTAGTATTCTTGGTGTGGTTGCGAGCTAAAAAATTGAATGTTAGATAGCTTATATGTAAATAATCACGCGTACCCGAGCCCTAAAGGGGTTGATGCCCTTATATAGTTGAGCTGTCGTGGATCTAACAAAACGATTCCGGGATCTTTGGTCTGAGTAGATGAGTCCATTTCCGTTTTAAATGGGGAGTAACATATCAGTCAATAAAATCTATCATTACCGCCCGATCCGGATGGGTAAAGGATAAGATCTGTCGTTACGCAATGTAATCCCGGAAGGTTCAAAGTCCACTAAGAAGCTTTTGAAATCGATTGCGTATCACTTCAGTTCCTAGGCCCCGAACTAACTTTAGTACCGAGATGCCTCTATACCGGTGTGACTGGCTTGGGTCCCAAGCCCCGAACTAGCTTGGAATCGATTAAGGCAGCAGCAGTAGCAAGTCTGGAACCATTCTGTCAGCAGGCCCTGAAAAGAGTTAATTAGTACTATATATGCTATGTTACGTTATGGTCCCTCCTTCAGCCATGTGAAGATAGAATGTATGGTCCCTTGAAAAGAGTTAATTAGTACTATATATGTTATGTTATGAGAGTTGATTTCAATTCTTTTTGTTTTTTAGTTGGACATATTTTATAATGTTCCAAAAATTGAGATTTTCTTTTAACAGACCTACTGATACCGGGTCTGGGATGTATGATTGGATTTATATATTCGTTTTAGCATCTATCGCTTCCGCAGATAGGAACCTTCCCACCACGAGAATCCCTGGTGTTTATCGCTCATTGGCTCAAAAATACAAATAACATATAAAAGATGTTAATTAGTAACACACACCTGGGCCATCTGATCGATAACAGTTGGAGTGTCACTGAACTGATGAATGACTTATTTATTCATCGTAGATAGTATTCATTAAGGCGTATTCAGTAATGTGAATGGTTTTGTTTTAAAAAATTATCAGCAAAATTAAATATGACAAATTCTGAAAGCCAATTCAACTCAACCCAGCTCCTTCACCTCCCTCCCCCTCTCAACAGATTAGAAAAAGTGATGCCAAGTCTGAAAGTCCCAGCGTTTTACATGATATAAATTCTTAGATCAAATCGGATATACTACGCTCACCTACCCACCCACAAAGCATTGCAGTCGTCGGTTACACTTCCGCTGTGAATGACAACATATAAGTACGAAACCAAACAACATCCCTAATAATAACCACAACGATAATATAATAGATAATAATAAATAAAATTAAAAATAATAATAACAAAAAGTCAGCGACTGCATATTTTAGCATAATCTTCGAAAAAAAAAACAGCCAAAAAGATATTAATTATTCATAAGAAACATCACAACTAACTATGCAATAAGAATTAAAAAAAAAATACCACTAATTATTCACATTAAAATTCCAAAAAAATGAAGCAAAGTTATAACATAAAAAATTCAATAATTACCTATTATTTGTGTAATATTCAACAAATAATTGCATCATTATTTAGTTAATATTACTAAAAATGATTTTCACTAAAATATACAAGAAAAAGGTAAACAAAAAACTATGAAATGACCAGAGTAGTAGGATTAGGAAGCCTTTCTTGTGGTCGCCGGCAAGTTTCCAGTGGAGTTTTCGACCAAAATTTCAGATCTGGGAAAAATAACACAGAAGAAAACTGGCATTAAAATACTTCAAAAAACACAGAAATGTCGACTTTAGATTGTAGGTAAATGTTTGAAACTATAAAACGACCCACCCACCAGTCACTTCAGGCCGTTTGGGTATTACAAGGGGTTTTTCCATTTGTAGGGGTAGTTTGGGTATTACAAAAAACTTTTAGGGATCGGATCATCCAAAATTTTCGAATAGGCACTTATTGAACAAGTGCTCAAAAAAAGTAGCATTAAACCTGCTTATTTTTTAAGTGGCTTTTTTTAAAAATAAACATTTATACCTGACTTATTTGCTAAACAAGTATAAGTGGACCCTATTTCACTTAAAAGCAGTCAAATCAAACAGGGCCTTAGTTTAGGGTAAAACAGCTTTTGTGCCATCATAATTATTTGACATATTTCCCCCTTTGTTTTGGAGATCTAGTTTTCTATCTAAACTTGACCTGGCCCGGGCCTAGTGTAAGCCTGAGCTTATGTAAGGCTAAACATATTTCAGGGCCAAGGTGTGAATGAGGCCAGGACCGAACTTACACGAAGCCCCTTTATATAATGTAATAGGCGCCTGACCCGGCCGATGATCACCCCTTTTATTTAAGACTTTGCAGTTTGCACTGCAGAGTAGCTGCCTTTGCCTTCTAGGAAATACCATTTTCGAAGTCAGTGTTCCTTCGTATTCTTCTAGGTGGTTCTTAACGCCCCTCCTTGGCCTTCCCAAGGCTTTTACCTGCTCCCCTTCTTCACTTCATAAACCTAGGGAACGACTACTCATCTGCTTTTCTAAAATGATCAGCTTGGAGCCTTGGGCAGAGGCACAGAGCCAAGAATTTCTTTTTTTTTTTTGTGGGGGGAGGGTGTTAAGAATTGCCACGTGGCCATGAATTTGGATACCTTGTGTTTGATAGGCAGAATGTAGAGAGCCCGGATTATATTGACACCACCCAGGGGAATATGTGTATTCTATTCAGAACCTGATTTCCTTAGCTTTGTGTGTGTTAAAAAAATAAATAAATTTCCAAAAATGAAGGTAATATGTGTGTAAAGGACAATTTTTGAAGTTCCGGCCCATGATGAGAGTGTGTAAGCAGGTTCTATAAAGGGCAGCTGGAGACCCTGACGAGAGTGTACATGTGTAGTGTAAAGCAAACTAATACTACTTCCAAGTTCGATCCCCTCCCCCCACGCCCCACCCCCTTTCCTTTCTCCCCCTGGTTCTCTCTCCCTTTCCTTGTTTGCTTTCTAGCTTTAATACTCTTAACCATGGCGATGGTGGTGTTGGTAGGACTACTACTACAAGTAGTCCTGCTTTGTTTGTTCGCTATTGTTTCCTACGTCACCATTTCATGCTACTGGTTGACCCCCAGGAAAATCAAGAAATTCATGGAAAAGCAAGGAGTCCGTGGTCCCAAGCCTCGGTTTCTAGTTGGAAACCTTATTGATGTAGCTGCCTTAGTCTCTAGCGCTTCCTCCATGGACATGGACTCCATCCATCACGACATCGTCGGTCGCCTTTTGCCGCATTATGTCAATTGGTCTAAACAATATGGTACAACTGACTATCGTCCTGCTCATGCATCCTCTCATCTCAGTTGCTTTAATTTCTCTGCTTCCAACTTAATTTCCCATATAAATTATGCTAATGGTGGATTCACGCCAATGACACATATATAACAAACACTACTTACAGGTAAACGCTTTATATTCTGGAATGGAAGTGAACCCAGGATGTGCTTAACGGAGACTGATATGATCAAAGAGCTCCTCTCTTCCAAGTACGTTAGTCTCTCCGGCAAGTCATGGCTACAGCAGCAAGGATCAAAACACTTTATCGGCCGGGGCTTGTTGATGGCTAATGGAGACGACTGGTACCATCAGCGCCATATCGTCGCTCCTGCATTTATGGCAGACAAGCTCAAGGTATGGACATGATTAATGCCTTGAGCAAAAACAGACCCACCTCCTCGCTCTTTTTCTTTTATTTTTTTTTGTTTCCTCTTCTTTTGTTATTTAATTCTGTTTGTTTCTTAATCTTCTAACTGTTATAATAAAATGAATGGATGGTTATCACCAGAATCATGTGGGGTACATGGCGGAATGCACCAAGAAGATGCTCCAATCACTGCACACCAAGGTGGAGTCAGGCGAAACAGAAGTTGAAATCGGCGAGTACATGAGTCAGCTCACGGGAGACATCATATCTCGGACCGAGTTCAATAGTAGCTACGAGAAGGGAAAGCAAATATTTCATCTCCTTACATCGTTGCAGCACCTCTGCGCTCAATCGAGCCGCCACTTATGCTTCCCGGGTAGCCGGTGTGTACTACTCTGGTTCTGGTTTACAGCGAGAGTTGTAGCTTGTGCTTTTTATTCCATTCAGACAAAATAGCAGCACCTCACGTGCTCCATCTTCCTGGGTTCTTTTTAATATTCCTCTCTCTCTCTCTCTTTTTTTTTTTTTTTAACTTTGATCTCCCTGTTTCGCTGTCTGCTTGTTCGCCATCACTAGCTACTTAGCTACTTGTTTCTTTCAGTCTCTGACAATATACATACTGCTGCTGCTGATATTTCTCTTCCAAGTTCCAACAATTAATACAGTTGGGTTAATTGAACTATATATGTAATTTAATTGTTTCTTTCTTTCTTTTTTCCTTTTCAGTTTCTTTCCCAGCAGATTCAATAGAGAGATCAAATCATTGAAGATGGAGGTAGAGAAGCTATTGATGGAGATCATCCAGAGCCGAAAAGACTGTGTCGAGATTGGTCGGAGCACATCCTATGGAAACGACTTGCTAGGCATGCTACTGGCGGAGACCCAGAAAAAGAGAGCCAGTGGATTTAACTTCACCCTTCAAATGCTCATGGATGAATGCAAGACGTTCTACTTCACAGGTCACGAAACCACTTCTCTCCTACTCACCTGGACTACTATGCTCCTCGCCACTAACCCAACTTGGCAAGAGAAGGTCCGGACTGAGGTTTTCCAGGTCTGCGGTGGAGAAGCACCCACCGCAGAACAACTCTCCAAGCTCAACCTGGTAATCATAATTTACTGTATGATGAGTTAACAACAGTTGAAGTACTGATCATAAAGTTGTATGATGGTAATAGCTAGCAGACATCATTAGTTATAACTTCTTAAGCTTGTCTTTAGAGGTCAAACGTACATTAAATATAAACAATTAATTACGTACAGCAGTCACTGATTAAAAAGTTGGGCCGGCTTCTCTCTGCAGTTGAACATGGTGATCAATGAGTCGCTTCGCCTGTATCCACCGGCTTCCCTTCTCCCTCGAATGGCATTTGAAGATATCAAATTGGGTGATCTCCACATTCCCAAGGGGCTCTCCATTTGGATCCCAGTACTTGCAATTCACCATAGTGAAGAACTCTGGGGTAAAGATGTACATGAATTCAACCCAGAGAGATTTGCTGGGAGGCCATTTGCTCCTGGTCGACATTTCATTCCATTTGCAGCAGGGCCTCGCAACTGTGTTGGTCAGTCCTTTGCATTGATGGAATCTAAGACCATACTGGCCATGCTGATATCCCGATTCAGCTTCACAATTTCCAAGAACTACCGTCATGCTCCGGTTATGGTTATGACTCTCAAGCCCAAACACGGAGTTCAAATCTGTTTAAAACCTTTAAACCCATGATGATCAATCTCTGATTGTGAGGCTGAGTTTTGTCCCCCCAGCGATCGATGAATTATGATCAGAAAGGCTGATGCCCGGTTAATTTTGTTTTACTTGTATTATGAGAAACTTTTAACCACTGAATAATGATAAACATAGAACGGATTAGCGAAACAGGATTCATGATAATATTTTTTATCATTTTGAGACAATGATGGACTGTTGCTTATAATTTATTTAGTAGAGAAATAGACAAATAAGGAATTCATGGGCCACCCTTTGAGTTTGCCTTTCGGTTATAATATAAACTATGGGCTACAATAGTGCATGGAGATCACGATTAGTCAATAATCTCATTATTTCGGTAGGAAGAGTGAAAGAGGGAGGCATATATAGGTGGCTGGATGACGCCTGCTATTCACACAAAAAATGACAAAACAAATCAAACAGGTTAATTATTAGTATTTTCTAGGGTAAATTTATTAAATTACCCTTATGTTTTAGCGAATTGATTAATACTATTTTTACTGTTTCACTAATACTTTCCTCACCGTTAATACCCCTTAATTTCTTGTTAACAAAAAGATAAAAAGACTATTTTACCCTTTAGATATGTTTCTCTCCCCTTTTTCCCATCGTTGTTGGGTTTATGGACAAAGTAAAGGTCCTGGAAATTCTCTCTCTGTCTCTCTCCTTATCAAAATAAAAGAATATAGAGCTTTTTATGGGCCAGAGCAACCTCTTTTGGGAGCAAGAAGCCATGATTGAACGAAATTGTACCCAGAAGAGCCTGGACAAGCAACCAACACACGACGGCAACGGGTACCTATGACTATTTATGTTTCATGAGTAAGCATCAGTTTGGTTCTGTTCGTCTTGTAACCACATGGTCCAGACCCGAGAATGATTCCTTTCATGAAGGATCATCAACGGGCTCAATTCCTTATGAGGAGCCACAATCCTTTGGTTCGTGTTCTGCTCTTGGGTCCTGGAAAATGAATGCATTAATGGAGCAGTCAGACAGGATGACCACTCAAGACTCCCCTACAAAATCTTTTATAGAAATTGTTTGCGGCCACTTGGTGGGTGGCGAAGACAAGCTAAAAGCTTGCCGGAGGTTGGGAGGAGAGCAGTACCAATCAAAGAACCCCATCACTAAAAGGAACCGAAGAAATAAGATCCGTCGAATGTTGCAGTGGTCACTGACTTTCAAAGAGCTTCAGCAAGACGAACAAGGATGATCCATCACTGTTCTCCGTCGCTTGGTCCGGCCAAAACACATAGGAACAAAAAGGAGAAGGGGAGATTTGCCGCTATTCGCTTGGTCCAGCCAAAACACATAGGAAAAAAGAAGGGGAGATCCATTGTTGTTCTCCGCCAATGGTTGCCACTGTTGTCAATGATAATCATCCATATTTTTAGTGAGCATATTGTCGAAAGCGCCATTATGGGTACGTTGCCGAAACTGCCGTTGTTGACGAACGGAGGGGAAAAATAGAGAGAAGAGAGAGCTTGCAGCGGCAGTTGAAAAAATCGCTGCCTGCCTTGTCCTGCACAAGCCACCTGCCTTGAAGAGAAAAATGATCTCAGATCTGGGTTCAGATATGCACAGCCCTTTTCAGTTTGTCCTCTTTGAATCCTGTAGCCAGTGAAAGGGGATTATTCATCGTCCCCTAGTGTTAGACGAACACGGTCAAAGGAAGATAGAGAGAGGTCGGAGGAGGAAGGGGACGAGGGTAACATTGAGTTTTTAAAAATTTTAAACTTCACATGGTGTTAATGTATACGGGTTTTGATGAAATATTAATAGATACTAACGGTAAGGATAGAACTAGACAATTGTTAGAAACAGAAAAGTAAGGATATCCTCAGTGAATTTTCAGACAATAAAGATACACTTAGTTAATTATGATGAGATGATTATTTCAGTACTACAACTCCAACAATGTCCTACAAGCTGATGAAAAAAAAAAAGAAACATGAATTTGAAATTTGATCTAGAGTAAGGGCATCTCTTGGGTAGGATTGTAGGACCCACATCAAGTGGTAGGAAGAGTCGTCCCAGTGATTAAGCAAAGGACCTGATTCCTTTTTACAATGTTCAATCTTAATTTTCACTGTATCATCTTGGGAGAGATGCAAAGTAGAAGCAGCACTTAATTAGCAGTTAATCCAACATTAATCAGACAAATCAGCAAGGAGCATATTATAAGTATCATAGTTAAGATCTAGGGCACGACATGCATACAATTTGAGATCAGCTCAGTTAATAAAATATAAATAAAAATCATGTATGATTATATGAATATATAAATTCACGATGGATATATGGATTTATTTTTGTTTTTTTTCAAGTATTTGCCCAAGGCAAAACCATTGGATTTTGGAGTTGTTGCTTCCTGGACCATCAAAATTTCAGGCCATGTGCAGTAGCTTGTCTCTCAGCAGTCAGCAGTCAGCACACCCCCCGATTCCCTTAACTCATGCATTGTTGCTGACCGGCGCCTTGCATGTTCAGCTCTACACTACTATTTACTGTTGCTCAGCCTCGGCCTGAGCAATAATAGCCCTTGTGTAATTTTGATGATCAGTTAGTTTATTAGAAACTCTCCCTCAACAATCCACATGTGTGTATATATACATCACTACAGTACTTTGCCTTCACTGAAGCTTTTCGATCAGCAGCAGACAAATTTTCATTTCATTAACTCTACTTGACTTATTGTAAGGGCAAATTCCTTCCACTTGGCAATCTGTTAACTCTGATTGATTAATTATTATTCCAAAAGCGTGGCCAATAGGTGATTAACCCATACAAAAGCCCAACAAGACAAAAAAAGGAGCTAGCTCAATTAAACTTCCACATGAAAACCCACTATGCTTAATTAAATTAGTGGAAGTAATATTCAAAATCTGGTAATAGATATGGACAAGGTGAAATATCCAACTCTATTATATATTCTTTTGTTGGCTGTATCTGTATGGATTAATTATTTGATCAAACCATATAGTGGATCTCATCTAACAGATGTTTACCACATTTAGCGCATTTAACAATGGTAATTAAACATCACTTTTATAAAAATGAAAGAAGAAGATGAATAGTATTTTTATCGATATTATTTTAAAAAATTAATTTATTTTTAATTTTTTTTAAATATATTACTTTTATTGATACTAAACCCTAAAAGTTGCCCTTCTACGCTAGAAACCCTTAATCTTTCGCTTTTTTTGCACAAAGTGGCTGTTATATCTCGCACTCAAACCCACATTTTCACCCTTGACAATTTGAGATTTTACCTTTGCACCAAGCAATGTCTTCTAATTAAATATCACTTTTATAAAAGTAAAAAAAAACAAATATACTATACTATATTGATAAAATTATTAAAAGGACATTAGCCGATGGGCTCAACCATCAGGCTCTTGCACAATCAACCGAGAACTGGCTCAAGGTTTTTAAAACCGACCTAGAGAACGAACAGGTCAGGGGTTTGGTTCCCGGTTTGAACAGTCCGACCGTTCGAACCGAACGATCGGCCCATTCTGACAAAAATAAAAAATTAAAAAAAAAATAAAAACAGTCAAAACCATTCGAACGGTTAATCGTCTGGGTCAGCAGTTTGCTGACCAAAATCAATGATTTTTGAAAAAAATCCGGTTTTGGGGAAAAGTGGAACTGGTCAGGACCGATCACTTAATTGGTTCCCGGTTTTCCAGTCCGGTCCGATTTTGGAAACCATGAACCGGCTTTTTGGTGTGTTAGCCGGTTTTCAAATTGAATCCCATAACCCCCAGTTTGGGGAAAAAGGGGTCAAGGGGAAGTTACTACAAAAAAAAAAAAAAAAAAACTACCAGGGTCTTGCAAGGACATTACTCCATCGACCCGATTTTTTCATATTTCTTGCACAAGCTACTCTTAGACTCAAAATTGCGATGTCATGACCTAGTCCAAATAACAAGAAGGAAAATGAAAGAAAAAAATCTAAAAGAAATAAAAGAAATGAAGAATGAAATTAGTTGAAACTTTATAATTGGAAATTAATTACATGAAGATTCAATGAGATTTTAGCACTTGCTCACTTGAAAAAGAACTCTCTTAAATTTCAAAATAATAATAAAAAAATTCTCAGCCTTAACGAAACATAGATAAAATCCAGATGCCTCATGTTTGATAATATATATATATATATATATATATAACAGACTAATTGTTGGAGGATTTGAAACAAAAAACCCATCATAAACCAACTTTTAGAAATCTAATAGCATACTCTGCAAACATACCGGCTATTAGAAATCCACTAACATACCAGCTATTGGAATACGAATTGGTGCTTCATAGAGTATGGTTGTAGGGTAGCTGCATCGTTTATTCTATTCAAATTGCTCGAAACAGATTAAATTAATTTCTTTGTGGATATGGTTGAATTCAAGAGGTGGATAAGGATTGAAACCCAACTTTTTTTTTCTTTGGGATTGGGTTCAGGATAACCCGGCCCAAGTTGCAGCCCTACTACCTTTAACACCCATGGCTCATCCTGTGCTATAGTTACACCAGTCTAGTGTTTAAAGGACAATCTTATCCCAAATAGTGACCACGTCCGCTAGGCAAAACTCTTTCAATATTTCGAATCTGGAGCGTGTCCAACTGTGCCAAATCCAACATATATTTTCGGGTTCATTTCAATACATGGACAGGATCCGCAAGAGGGTTGTGTCTACGGAGGTTCCAAAGCTGACCAGAGTAAACTACGTCTGGGTTGGGATTGGGGTGGTTTATATCTTGGATCGTTGTGTATCCCATTTATCTGGCAAGAACAGAGTAAACTTGTGAAAGTCCATTAACGTTCCACTTATACCATGGTCCCTTCAAAATGATCAAAACCAGACAAGACCAATGCATTGCGTCTCCCCTTTCTTTTTGGAGCAAAGCCAGTGCCAGTGCCACCACCAGAAGAGAAGTGATAAACACAGAACACTCTGTGACGTTAGCATTGCACATTCTCAGAAATATGGGCCTAGAGTGGAGCAGATTTCCGTCTCTCATCAATATCATGAGCCCATTCTATAATATATTAACATTATCGGTGCAGGAGGGACAAACAACTAGAACCAGTTACGTCCCAGAAGTACTCTTCGATTACAAAAAGGACAAAACCTAAACAGGGGTT